AAGAAGGGTACTGAATATTCGCCGAAGTGTACAAGATGTACGAAATATTGAAATAATAGACGGGATAATGAATATTATTTACATTTTCCTATTACTATTTTCCTCATCTTTGTTGTCATATTTATTACAGTGGAGAACGTTCAGAGGGAAAATTAACAGGAGATAACTGATAACATCCAATAGACATGGCACGTGGAACTAGAACAGTGAGCGAAATAAAGGGTTCAGTTCGACATTCCAACCACCTGAAGAAGGCCGGAGCGTACAACGGCCGAAACGTTGTAATAAATATGGCGACAAAGATGAGGACAATAGTCCGAATAATGTAAATAATGATATAAAGTACAGTAAGAGTTTTGCGAATTTCCGTCAGTAGGAAAATTATCTCAGACATATAGACAGACTCGGGATAATGAATGGGTAATATTATAGGGATATTTTGGAGAGAAATTTTATATCAGATTACATATTCGCTGGGCTTCAAATGAGGTTGGGTCTTTCAGCAAGACAACGATCCTGAACATACTGCATTGCTTACAAAATCATGGTTAATTTCAAATAGAATAAACGTTCTAAAATGGCAAAGTCAATATCCAGATCTGAATCTGATTGAAAATTTATGGAGCTAGAGGAAACTAAGAATTCAAAGAAGGAACCCGCAAAATCTCCATGAACTAAAGGAATTTCAGCGTGAAGAATGGAAAGAAACATGCAAGAAATTCGTAAAAGACTACTCTAAACTATTGCATGCTGGAATTAGCAATAACTGTTAAGCACATGGACAAATATACAACCCTAAAACGTATAATATATATATATATATATATATATATATATATATATATATATATATATATATATACATACTTACACACACATACACACAGACATATAGATAGATATAGATATATATGTAGACTTGTACAAATCTATGTATCCTCACCAGTTTATCTATTGTAAATTCTATCTATCTATCTATCTATCTATCTATCTATATATATATATATATATATATATATATATATATGCGTGTCTGAGTGTGTGTTTGTGTGTATAAACCTGTTCAAATCTAGATGCCCCAGTCTACATATCTATCTATATATTGCAAGTCGTACTGACCGATCTATCTATCTATCTATCTATCTATCTATCTATCTATCTATACAAGTAATTGATTTTTATTTATTATTCTAACATATTATCAATTTAAACATAATTTGGACGGGATACTCATATTTGAATAGACCTTCCGTTTATTCTTTAAACAATATGTATATTTCCGTCTACCTTCCTTATGAATAAATTAAATTAAAAACAAATGGGCCTACCTGCAGGATACAAACATAGAGTCCACTTTGCAGGAGAAACTGTCCTTAGATCCGATGTGCTTTTAATCCTGCCGAAGGACGCTAAGATTTTTCAAATCTATAGGCCGGTTGAGGAAAAAATAAAAATACTTTTTAAAAAATAATTGGACCATCTACTCATACAAGGGTTTCCACTAAAAAATAAAATTTAAAACTATCTGCCGATGTAAACTATCTGAATTTGCATATCTCTCTCTCTCTCTCTCTGTCCTTGTATATATATATATATATATATATATATATATATATATATATATATATATATATATATATATGCAAACCAAATCTATATATCGCAACCAGATTATCTATCTATCTATCTATCTATCTATCTATCTATCTATCTATCTATCGTAGTCTGTTCACATCTATCGGTGTATTTATCGTCGTCTGTTCATATCTATCTATCTATCTATATATATATATATATATATATATATATATATCGTAGTCTGTTCACATCTATCTATGTATCTATCGTACTATCTATCTATCAGAGTCTGTTCATATCTATCTATCTATCTATCTATCTATCTCTCTCTCTCTCTCTCTATATATATATATATATATATATATATATATATATATATATCGTAGTCTGTTCACATCTATCTATGTATCTATCGTATTATCTATCTATCAATGTCTGTTCATATCTATCTATCTATCTATCTATCTATCTATCTATGAGTCTTAGTTTGTTCATATCTATCTATCTATCTATCTCTATCTATATATTTATATATATATATATATATATATATATCGTATTCTGTTCACATCTATGTATCTATCGTAGTCTGTTCATATCTATCTATCTATCTATCTATCTATCTATCTATCTGAATATGTTCATATCTATCTATCTATCTATCTATCTATCTATCTATCTATCTATCAGTCTTAGTTTGTTCATATCTATCTATCTATCTATCTATCTATCTATATATATATTTATATATATATATATATATATATATATATATATATATATATCGTATTCTGTTCACATCTATGTATCTATCGTAGTCTGTTCATATCTATCTATCTATCTATCTATCTATCTATCTGAATATGTTCATATCTATCTATCTATCTATCTATCTATCTATCTATCTATCTATCAGTCTTAGTTTGTTCATATCTATCTATCTATCTATCTATCTATATATATATATATTATATATATATATATATATATATATATATATATATATATTCATATGTATATCGTATATATCTATCTATCTATCTATCTATCTATTCTGTTCATCTATCTATGTATCTATCTATCTATCTTCTATCTGTTCATATCTATCTATCTATCTATCTATCTATCTATCTGAATCTATGTTCTATCGTAGTCTGTTCATATCTATCTATCTATCTATCTATCTGTTCATATCTATCTATCTATCTATCTATCTATCTTCTATCTTTGTTTATGCATTATCTATCATACTATCTCTGCCATATGTATCCATTCGTCGAATCAAGGGTGAAGCTGTTATTCCTTAACTATAATTCTTTATTGCGTAGCAAATATCTAACACGGAGACATATAGCCCACCAAAAAAATACATCGAAAAATATTTCAATATATCTTGAAAATCATAAAAAATACAATGTATGAAAAAAAAAAACATAAGACCTGCTTTCCATTCCTTCTCATGAGAGCAACAAATGACACCAACACCCAGAAGCAAAAATGAATAGATAGCACTCACTGACTGATGCATTGACGGCCATTATTGACAGTTTGACAGTTGTAGATATAGGACTGTTCTTTTTCTGCTTTTAAAGGTAAATTCGATCAGTTTCTACTCGTATTGTTTGTTTACAGTCATAATATAAACTCACACAGAAACAAATCTATATAAATATACATTAGTTTTGAGTCATAATTGTGATAACAAACATATCATCCTTACTAATCGTTTATTAAATATATCTAACAGGTGATACGAAATATGTTTTATATGTTAAATATGTTTTATATGTTAAATGTTCAATGAGGAAGGCAGTGTTTTCGTTTAGTCTGCTTGTTTTTTAGCAACATATCAACACCTCTATGGGTTATTTAATGCTGAAATCTAGACATAATAATTCAAACTTTATAATTCAAGAGAATGGCATTATTTCATGATTAAATTATAACTACTTAGCTGCACATTTTTTTACAAAATAATCTTACAAAATCAAATGAGAAGGGAAAATGGATTCTCCTTCCAAGAAATGGGGTTAATCATAGCTAACTTTTAATTTATTTTATTTCTTTGAAAATGTATGCTATATATTTAATTTTAAAATAAAATGTATTGGTTGTCATTTTGTTATGAAATATATTTGTGGTAATTTTATTACAAAAATATATTGTTGGTAATTTTTCTATAGAAATGTGTCGCTAGTCATTTTACTATAAAATGTATTGTTGTTCATTTTACTATAAACATGTATTGTTGGTCATTTTACTATAAACGTGTATTGTTGGACAATTACAATAAAATGTATTGTTGGTCAATTTACTATAAAAATATATTGTTGATCATTTTACTATAAAATTTATTGCTGGTCATTTTACTATAAAATTTATTGCTGGTCATTTTACTATAAAAATGTATTGTTGGTCATTTTGCTATACAAATGTTTTGTTGGTCATTTTACTATAAAATGTATTGTTGGTCATTTTACTATAAAAATGTATTGCTGGTCATTTTACTATAAAAATGTATTGTTGGTCATTTTTGCTATAAAAATGTATTGCAGTTCATTTTACTATAAAAATGTATTGTTGGTTATTTTTTCTAAACTGAATTTTTGGCATCCTTACTATAAAAATGTATCTTTATTCTTTCCTAGTGTTTTGCTTTTTGTTTTAGGGTTCTCTATTTGCCCGTAGCCGGGACACTTCTTTGAATATACGCTCTTTTAGCGCTAGATGGCGTCGTCAGTGATGTTCTGGAGATGGATCATTGGGCAGTTTTGGGTCTTTCAAACATCATACTGACCTCACCAAATCGACCCCCTCAGAGCTGATCAGACTCTGAAACGCACTCTAAAAAATGCTTGTAGGCACTGACTTCTATAAATATACCCCGTTATCACACATTTGATTGGAGATTGACAAACAGCCAATCACAATGGTGCGAAATCTATTTAAGCCGTTTACGGGTAATTTTTTTCTTTTTTTCATTTTTTTCAGTGGACACCCCTTCATCGGAGACTTAGAAGGTAATTATGTTTTCCGTTTTTACCCACTTCCTATCAAGTTTCATTTCACCAGCTAATAATTCGTGAAGAAATAAAATGTATGTGTATGTGCTGGGACCGTCAAAATATTTATTTTCAGTTTTTAAAATGCAATGAAAAAATAATTGCCCATTAATAAGCCAACAGAAAATGACAATGCAATGTCCCATCCAGCAAGGACAACTTAGGAAAAAAATATGGAGCATGGTTGGTCTGTTCTGTCCCCTCCTGTCATATTGACCTGAACATGAACCATTCGATTATTATCTTTCACGATTGCTGTAAAAGGTTTTCATGAGGGATACTTTCCCTAAGGAAGTATAGTTTAAAGAGTAAGCGCCAAAACCTTTTCACATCAAAACCTGCAATCATCAAAAGGTATCA